GTGTCTGTGCGCGTACATGTGTGCCTGGGAAGGATTTCTCATGGGGTTTGCTGTAAACAAGGAAAGCTAAATCCTCTGCCAAAGCTTTTTTTTCAACCATTAAATAACCTCCATATTAAAATATTTCAGGAGAGAATACGTAAAAAAAAATACTGAGAATGCAATATATAAAGAACAACTACTTACACCTCAACAAGTACACTGGAAATCTGTAAAACAAGACATTAAACAATAAAATACCTTGATGTGGTAAAACAGTCAAAGAAGTAGTACATGTTAATTCCTGCTTTTTGGAAAATAGCAGTAAATTCAAAGAACAGGGTCAACAAAGCTCTACAAATCTCAAATTCATGACTGATTGCAGAAGACAAATTTTCCTTACACACCTAAATGCTCATCTTGCAAGGCAAAGTGCATTAATAAAGTCTGCAAGGACCTAGAGATAGAAAAATAATGCATCCTAAAAAGAACTGCACCACTTAGAATTTCTAAATGCTTCAACTTGAAATATTTTGGCCAGTTAGATCTCTGCTTTAATGTTTTTCCTGGTTCTGAGCATCATGAGCTATATATAATTTAAATGGAGATTAATTCTTCCATTTAAAGTGCTTTAAAATAATTCCGCCTATGATCTTGAGCTCTCAGCCCAGCGTCTCCACAGTGCCTCTTCTCCAGTTTTCCTTGAGCTACCTAAGTGGAACTGACAGATCACTGCTCAGATAGCAGCCGCATTCTTCCCCCAAAATGTTGCCTTTTTGCTATTCAGGAGTATCCTAATACCAACAAATGCTAAATGAAGTCTGACATGTACCCCTAAGAAACAAACTTATAAGTTGTAGCTTCAAAGGAAACCTTGAATAAATAGGACACATTGTGTACACCCAGGCTAACATCCAACATATGCTTTAGTTTCCCAATGCCGAGACAGAGCAAGAATAGCCCCTGGTAAAGCCTGTGATTTGCTAGTGCTGGTACTTGCAACATTTATAATGTACCTTTTTTTTTTTTTTTTTTTTTCCTTTTTTTTTTCTTTAAGATGTATAAACGATTTTTTTTAAATGTAATTAAGACCACAGCAACATTTCAGAACAAAATATATTCATGAATAATGGATTATCTGACAAGCCACTAGTTTGACCAACAATTACAAACTAAAGCAAAGAGCTGATCTTTCCTCTGCAAAAGAACATTGCCACCAGTAAGTCATAACTGGACAGGTGATTTTATTAAATTAAAAAGTAACTGAAATAATGAATGCTTTTAATTAGAATCATAGAATCATAGAATAGTTAGGGTTGGAAAGGACCTTAAGATCATCTTTGGTGGTGGTGACCAACATGCCTAACAGTGAGACACTGCTAGTACGTGTTATTAGGAACTACAGATACAATGAAAACATGGCAGAGACAGGAATAAAAAAAAGCAAGAAAGCAAGATAAAATTACATGTAACTACACACACAAATCAGTTAGGATGCTCCAGTCCTAAAAGGCCAATTTCTTTATTTAGGGAAAACAGAGAAGGGATGGGAAGAGAAAATAGATATAACCTATTTTATGACTTTACCATTATTTAATGCTCTATTTTATGACTAATCCTTCTGAAAGGCCTAAAAGGAGTTTAATTCAATCTTACAATTCCTTTCTCTATTATAATTTCCTTCTCCTTTTGTCCGCCATTCCTCAGTTAGTTCCAAGATGGGGCAAGATAAGAACTGATTTAACATCATAGGTGTAAAGTTTTTATCCTGGACTAGGTTCAGACTCAAAGCACCCAAATGTATATTATAAACTCACAAGTGTGGTATTTTAGTCCTTCAGTACTGCTTTATCCTAGGAAATTGAGGGTTGATGGAGCTTTGAGAGGTGTTCTAATTTTTCTCGCTGCAAATTACCATTTCTTTACATTCTCATCAAAATGTGGATAACTAAGTTGCTGCCTTCCAAGGAAAACACAGTAAGTCCAGCTATCCTAGCATGAACAAGTAGTTTCAGTGGCAGCAAAGCTTCAAGTCTATTTTTGATTCTCTCACCAAATTTATCCAGAAAGTCCTGCTAGCATTGCTGCTCTTCCTCTGAGGAAGAATCATCAAGGGTCTCTGCCCAATTTCATGAAACTTGATGAAAGAACAGAGCAATTTTCTCCACTAAACTGCTCTACAATAATTGGTACATTTCCTTTTTTTTTTATTATTTTATTTTACACTTTGTTTACAATATGCAGCTTGTGCATTTGTTTCTTATTCCTTAGGAAGGCAACAAACCCATCAGAGATATCCCTTAGGCATGCAGAACTTCAAGCTGTATTACTGTACTGAGGTTTTCCACTAAAAGACCACATGCTATATTGGTGCTGAATTTTTAGATTTATTCCAACACTGTTTAAAATAATTATTTGTCCAAGAAACCTGAAGACTAATTTTAAGACTATCTTGTAAATGCATATCTTTGGAATGCTGGGGTAGAAAATAGCTATGATACATACAAACCATTTATTTAATCAGAAAAAACTTCAATAGATTATAAATAGATTTCAAGTCACAGTGCTCTTATGGGAAGTGTAATTACAGTTAAGAGAACCACTTCGTTCTTGCATGCTCTTGGGATCCCTTGGACTGTTTTAAGTTACATTTGATAGTTATGATAATGAAAAAGTAAATCTGAATTACTTTTCTGTATGCTATTTACAGCAGCTCTCACTACAGTATACAAAAAATACCACATAAACCCATACCAAATTTTGCTCCTAAATAACCTATTTCCTCTAGACCTTAAAAATCAGGTGGAGAATATGCACTCTCCGTCAGAGATAAGTAAAAATCAAGTCCATCCTTTAAATCTCGCCCTACTTCCAAATAAGAATCTACACATATCTGATGCCATACATGTATATAATTTTTTTTCCATTCTCCTGAGCTCTGTACGAAACAACTTGAAATTATCAACATATGCTTTTGCCAGAAGCCGTATAAATACCAACTCCAGTGTGTTTCAAGAGTCCTTCCTACTTCTTCCCAGTACAAAAGCCCCTATTGATGAGCTGATGAATAGTGTAAATGCAGTTCTAAAAAGGGAAAAGAACTACCTTTACAGTCAATTTTGCGTGAAGACCTTTCTGACTGCCAGAAGGTCAGAAATTACATCTCCAGGTAAAACTAACTAGAACTGTAGCACTACTGAAGTAAATCAGTATTTAAGCTATTTATTCTTTAGAGAGTTCCAAGACTGCAAGAAATGCATGGCTTTTTGCCCTATCCTGAACACATGTGGCATTTTGATATTACCTAGCTGGCCCCAATACCAAGAAAGTTTTACCAAACTTTCTGTCTTGGAAGGGAAGGGGAAGAGGACTGGAGAAGGAGGAATATCAATCCAATTAAAACACATTGAAAAACACATAGAAGTCTGCTGTAAAGAAAAGATACGCCACCTGTGAGACAAGATACTCCACCTGTGAGACTGGCCAACATGACCAAGTGCAGCAAGAAAGCAATTATGATCATGTACCCTGGTACTCCAGCTTCAGCAGTGAGCTTTCCAACATTTAGAGTGTGTGTAAGCTCAGTGCTTTTTAAATACTGTTTGGAGATGTAACTTGCATGACATTAGAAAGTATTGAGATCATAGAATCACAGAATGGTTTGGGTTAAAGATCACCTTATTCCACCCCCCTGCCATGGGCAGGAACACCCTCCACTGTTTTTGAGCCTCCAGGCTCAAAGCCCTGTTCAACCTGGCCTTGAACACTACTAGGGATGGGACAGCCACAGCTTCTCTAGGCAACCTGTGCAAGTGCACCACCCTCGTAGTAAAGAGCTTCTTCATAATATCTAATCTATGTCTCTGTCAGTTTGAAGTCATTAAACCATGACACCCTGTCACTACTTGCTCTTATAAAAAGTTACAGCAATTTGGATAAAGCTCAAGGTACCTCTACCTCAACACAAGTGCTAACATTCCAGAGAAGCAAAGTTTCTGCTAAGTAAGCCAACTAAACCTTCTCTAATTTCGTTTCAGACTGTCTTGTGTCTCTGTGAAGTCTGAAGATAATGAGTTCAACCCTTTGGTGGGTAGATCCCCTGCGGCATCTGCTGCCACACAGCTATGCCAGGGACTAATGACCAGACTTACTTCACAGAATAAGGCAAAAAAGGCTTCCTGACGCTTCTTGCATTACAAACAAGAGTGACACTCTTTCCAAATGTGAACACATGAACACTTTCAAACATGAAAACTGCTATTTCTACATGACTGCAGTGAGTTCTATTAAATCATGATTCTATTTTGAATAAACACCAAATGACTTGCAGAAAGCATCTTTATTTTCTTCCACTCAGACACTGAATTTGTGTAAGTGTTAAACACAAACATACCTAAAACTAGCAGATAAAATAGAATAAATAACTCAAGCTGGAAGCATTTTTCCTCTTATGAATTTATAACCCTTTATTTAAAAGGGTTTTCACAGAAAGCACTCAAACTACTCAAACTACCTCTAGTATTTGATTATAATTACAATGAATGCTGCCTTTGTAGCAACCAATTCTACCGGTGATACAAAAAGTAACTGATCCTCCATCCAATGCAGCCAAGAACCAGAACCAGCAGCCACATCATCCTGACAGGGCTGGAGTTATTTGCACAGTGAAAGTGCTATAGCAAACCATTAAGCATTTTCTTGTCTTACGATACCTCAGAAATGTACAGCAAAATCATGCACAGCCACAAAGTTGTGGGGAACCACCAAACACGAGAATGCTTTCACATATCAGTATACCTACCAGCCAAGAAAACTAATATATTTCCCCCTACATTCAGTAAGTTACTGTCATAAAAAACAATTTATCTACCAAATCAATGCTTATGAGAGGCATATTGAATCCTTCAAGTTGTTTTTCCCTTTAAAAAGTCAACATATGTGATCTACAGTTGCATATTTCTGTTTCTCCCCTCTCAAAACACATAGTAATGTAATAATGAAAGCACAAAAGGGCAACATACCATCATAGTAGACAATAGCTCCAACAAGCTCATCTTTGCGTAGCATTGGGAAATGCTCCAGGGCTCTTGACTTGCTAAGGACATAACTACTTTTCAGACACTGACTTCCTGCAACGAGGTCATATAATTTTATTCCAAACCAGTAGTATGGCAACTGCCACCATCTGCAGGAAACAACAACAACAAAAAAAATTCCCCATGAAGTGAAATAAAGTGCATGCACACGCTTGTTATGACATAGAACATGTTAAGTAACACAGTATGTTGTATTACACCACTTTTGCTTTGTACCATCATAAAAGTTCGTAATATTGCAGTATCATGCAAATATGTAAGAACTTACGTATTGTTTGCTAGTGGTTTTAACTGATCTATTTTCTGTAGTTAGTTAAGCAGACTCAAGGCTTTATTTATCCTAGAATTATAATCACAAACTGGCTTTATGTACTTCAGTGTAGAGTGAGATATTAAAGCTATGTGTCGAGGGGAGACCCTGCCTGTTTGTCAAGCTGAAGGGGTTCCTTAAATGCACATCTTGACTAATGCCTCCTGCACAAACACGACAAATAAATGCAGTCAACTGCTGACTGACATGAGCTCCAGCTATTACGAGCCCCTCTCTACAAAGACAAGAATAAAGCCATACACTAAGATCATTCAGCAAACACTCACAGCTCCGAGTAGCCTGTTACAGTAACTGTTCTTAGAGATCTGAAAACCTAACCCAAATCACTTACGTTTCCTTCTTGTAGCAGAAAAGAAAACTATTCTCTCAACATTCACTTGTCATGTGCTATAGAAGGCAAGTGCACAGAATTACTACACTGAGCACTGGTGGTTGCATGAACTAAACAACACATTACTAAGAACGCTAAGACAGCCTGTGTTGAAGACGACGATGTACTAGAAAGAACAGCAAAAAACATACTGGGAATGAGAGTTTGTTCCACCTACAAGCACCCCCCTTCCCCTTCCTGCAGGGTGGCAGGAATGCAGCAAACAGCTCGAATCCAAAATGGGTTACTAGGCAGCTGGGATAGCTGCTTGGTTCCTTGAGAAAATTTCATGCTTCCACAATATGGTAACATCTCACCTCCTAAAGGACAAAGCTTGTGACAGGTTTAAAGACATGCTTGGAAAGAGGCGCCCAGAAACTTCTCCAAGGAAATAGCTTGCTTGTGAAAAGCAATGGTAAAGGAGTGGTATTATAGCAGAGCTTACTTGTAAACAGGCAGCATTATTGGCAAAGGAGATGATAGGTGAGGAGCTATTTCAAGCAGATTTGCACGCTCCTCAAGTGCTTCTTTCACCATCTTGTACTGAAAAACACAAGTGCACATGCAAATTCCATGTTATTCAGTTTTGTTTCCATGTGCATCTTTTAATAAGAAACTGTTTATCAAAGCAAAGAACTCCCACAATCCTTACTGTTCTTTCAAAACCACACTGAGATTTGCTGAAAAAAAAAAAATAAAAAATTAAGGAAACTATTTCCCAAGAAAATTAAGTTCCACTAGTTCAATTTTGGTGTCTTGGGAGGTCAGCTGAGTAACTTTTCATCTCAACGTAAAGAGCATTAAAGCTGTGTTACTCCTAACTATGGGCAGGAAGCACATGAGAAGGGCTAGAACTCATTCCAAAGTAGATCTTGTGGGCCATTCCCACAGTTAAATCCCATCCTAATGCTGAGTTGCAAACGTGAAAGTGTTCTCCAAATCAATCAATATGAATCAATATTAAGTTATTCTTTGGCAAAAACACGGTTAATTTCTGTAGCTGGGTAGCTCCATGTTTTATATATTTTTCCCTATCAAGTCACTGTTTCTGTAGCAGTATTATAACCATCAAAACATACTTTAGGTCACAAAGGTTTCAATGAGAAGATCAATTAATTTATCAAAACAAGAATATCATGCTTCCACAAGAATACATAAAACCGTTTGTATAATCACTCATTTACCCATTTTCTTTCCACATTCCAAAATAAATCACTCATTTACCATATTTTATTTACCCATTTCAAAATAAACAGGATAATCACTGATCCACTCCCCGAAAATTCTAATCATACAGGTAGGATGATCCTTTTAGTCTGAAACCAGCCCTGTCTCTGCCTGCCTTCCCCAAACTATACAGTCTACAAGCTATGGCAATTAGATTGCCCATAAAACAATTTAGCAAAAGGCAGCCACACCAATTTCCCTAGTCTGGAAAGCTCAACTGAAGAAAGCACTTTCTCTGTACAGTGGCTGGAGAATAAAACAGTCAAGTATTAAAAAAATAAAAAGGAGACTTGGATATAATTGAGATAGGGGAAGTATCTACTGGCAATTTTTGCTTAACAACCAGCATAAACAATTACCTGCTCAAAATCCAACTTCATGATGGCCTTCTGAAGATATCTCACTCCACCATGGATCAATTTAGTACTCCTGCTGCTGGTCCCTGATGAGAAATCATCTCTTTCTAGAAGGGCTGTTTTTAGTCCTGTGTTACCAGAAAACCAAATTAACTTCTTAAATTACACAATTTGTATGTAATTCATTAAAGACACTTCTCTAGGGTAGAGACAATCACAAGAAAAATTACTCTGTACATGGATAAATTTGTATTCAAAGTGTAGTGCACTGTCTATATTGTAATGAAAAATTTTAGCCTCCTTCCTAAGGGAAAAGTCAAAACAGAACTTAAACAGAAGCACATTAAAACCTGGATATTTCACAATAGAAAGGCATTACAGTACATTATAGGGGCCATGCTCCCTCAAGCAAATTATAGTTCATATTCATGGCAGGAGCAGAATATTTTCATGAATACTTTTAACTCTTCATAGCAGAGAGCTCTAAACCAGTCACACTAACAACTTAAATGTTGTATGAGGGGGGCAGCAACGGTCATCCTTGCCTGCTTACTTATAGTCTGATAGAGGTACCCAAAACCAAAGTGTAGCAGCTCACAGGCACGCTTACCACTCAGGAAAGTTCAGTGAAGGAACATGATGCCCATGTACGCAGAATTCTGCCATTCATGTGAAATAGTATGATAAGATTTAATATGAAATACAGTAGCTTACCTAGGATGTGTAGCAAAATGAAGAAGCAAGTTTAGCTACAGTTTACTATGCAGATATTACATACAGCTCACAGACATCCTCCTTTTAGGCATTACATATGCAAAGGGCACACATACACAAAACACGAGTTGCAAGATATCACCAAGTATTTTAAAAAAAACATCTACTCAAAACAATGTGAGCATATTCCTTGGCACCAGCCAGCATTGGCAGTTTGACCAGCTCAAGCAGGGGGTAACACATGGCTCACAGACATTCACACAAATCCAGAACACAAAGTGCTTCATAACCAAACAGTATAAAGCTTATTGCACCAAACACTTGGAATGATGATGGCATATTTGTTGCACATGTCGTGGTCCCAGTCACCCTGAAGGCCAGGAAAAAGCTTTCACGGGTGAAGGCACACTGCTTCATACAGAAATCGTTAAGAAACTATATACCCCAATACTGTAAGTGCTGGCATCCTCTTCGTGAAGGAGACTGACATCAGGTTATATGATGGAAGTTCAGTCATGGGAAGAGTGGTAGCAAAGAGATTATTAACAGATGCCTTTTAATGATAAGATACAGACAATGATCACATCTTTTGGCACATACCCACAAGACACCCACCACTGACTTCCAATATCCAGTGTAAGTAAACACAACCAAAATAAGCACACCAGGATAAGCGCATGACAATCTTTCACTTAAAACACATGTGGAAGGACAATCCGTGTTACAGAAGTCGGCGTAACAGACTCCCTCTATCACTGGCAGAATTTCTGAGACAAGCAGGCAAGGAAAAAAAGTATATTAAATTCAGTGATATTGCTACCAAACAGCAACGGCACTACAACAAATACCCAAGGAAGGGAGCATCATCTGCTCTAGAAGTTACTCCCTGGGTCTTTCTTTCGTCCTCCTTCTGGGATGCTGCATGTTACTGGTTGGTGAACACACATTTTAACATCTTTTGGTCGCCCAAAACTTTTATGTCCTTAAAAAAATTTAATTATTACTGGTAACTTCTAAAGATCAGAGTAATTTATTTTTGTCAAATGTGACTGAAGATTAATGGATACAATCAGAAATAATTTGGCGAAGATATATCAAACACATGAAAAGCAAAATTTGTTGTTAAGTGAAGCAAACATAATAAAAGAGCAAGTTCCATGAATGAACAGCAACAATACACAATTCATTAACCAAATGCCTAGGAATATTTTACACTTCAGAAGTCTACTGATATAATCAGACTATCTGGTAAAAGGATGAACAAAGATCAACTGTAATAATTTCTGTATACTTTACAATTGTATCTTCCACAATATAGCTGGGGCAGAAGTGAAAAGATCCCAAGTTATATTTAATAATATACAGGAAAAAAACAACCAACCAAGTAAAAACTCAAATCTGGTTGTTTATCCTGCCAGTGGTGCAGACCTTCCTTCTTTACCTTCTGGACAAGTATTTTCCAAATCAAACTACAAAACACCCATGGTGTTAGACCTTGACTCTTTATTCTGAGGTAATGTACAGGTTAAAGAACCTGAAGAATTTTATTACTATCTACTATATTTTACACTGCATTTTTGTTTTTCAATTTTAGTTCAAAACCCACAAACAAGATCTACAAACACAGAAACTAAGGAAATTTGGTTCTCTTTCTCATTGGCTCACAGCCCTGGAAATGACAACCAAGGAAACATGTTCCCAAACAAGCTTTTCTCAAAAAATCTTTTACATAGCTTTTTGAATAAAAATACATTACTCGGGGGGAATGCAGCATTTTAGTAGAACAGGAGTTGATGCTACAGCCTCAGTACCCCTGCGTGCTCCTCTCCATATCTGAAGATCTATTTTTCATTAAAACTTGTGAAATTACTTATTCTCTTTGAAAACTGTAAAATCTGATTGAACTTGCTGGACAATTCCAAAGTCACTGTGTGAGGTGGATGACACAGAGTGGGCATTAGTGTCCTGCTTTTTCAACCCCTGAACAGAGCTTTTCATACGTCCAGCCAACTGCACAAACTACAGGGCCCAGTAGATGTGCAGATGTTGCAACAACTGACTGTCACCACACATGCTTTCAACTTTCTGAACAAGTCAGGTAAAAAGCATTAGCTTAAACTCATTTCACCTAGAGCCTTCCCTAAGTTAAAGCTACATGTAAAGTTACAATCAATTCTGTTGCTTTTACTACCAGTTACACAGCTAATCCCCCAAAAAGGGGAAACTGAAGCACAGATTCCACCCGTACCTTCAGACTGAATGGTGCTAGTATCTTTCACTAAAAATCAAAACAGAATTCTCCAAACCTGTCCTGTACTGAGCAGCTATAAAGCATTAGCAGAAGTTGCAGATATCTCTCCTGTTATAAGAAACACAAGCTGGAGAGCCACTGTGCCTCATATAGAAATCATGCTTGGCCCTTTAAAAACAGTTGCTAAAAGCATTGTGCAAGTCTTGCATTCTTTTTCCTGCAAATTTTTTCTTGAACAAGTGATATGTGAACCCACTAAACGAGGAGCAACAGAGAATGAGAAACCATCCAACAGCACCCAGTATGTTAGACAACTGCATACAAACACCTAGACAATAAAGACCCTGCTGAAAAAAACAAAATGCAGTTACTTTTTTCTTCAAGTCCATTTTAGCTTCTGACCAAAGGCTGTTTATAACCAGGCATTCAAAGTACACCTTCTCTACCTCAGAGTACTTCTGAAAAGCCAATTTGATAAACTTAACCTCAAACCCTGTAATCCAAGAATAAGAATACAACTACATCTTCTAGCCTTACCTCTAGTGACTGCATCTAAAGCACAGCCACATCCTGTTGCTCCTCCGCCTATAACAAGGACATCAAATTCGCTTGTGGTCTGCAGTGCCAAAATTTGTTGCTCTCTTGTGGGGAGATGACTCTTCATTGGAACAGGCACAGCTTCTGCAGCCTGAACATTCACAAGGGTACCCTACAAAGATTAAAACCACACATGAAGATCTGTATTTATTCTGTATACACACACGTGTATACATACACAGAACCAAATCAGAGCATTTTCTACAACCATAAATGTTATAAATATTCCCAGTTGCTTTACCTATATTTAATAAAAATATTGTATTGAAACACTATGGAGCAACAAACAGTACTAAACCCATAAAGCGCTAGCACGCCAACTTCATCTTGTTTGCTTCAATATAAAGCTGTAGTCAAGGGCTACTACCTATATTAATGTTTCTAGGAATTGTCCTCTGCTATATCAAATGTTACAGGATGTTCATGAAGAAGTTTAATAAACAGATGCATGGTTAGGCTCTCAACTCACTACCCAAAAAAAACATCAAAGCAAAGGACTTAAAGTTGAATGTACATTTTATATTTCAAAATTGATTAGTTGTACAGTGGCATTAATCTAAGCTCAAATTTGCTCAGGTTCATGAGATTATGTGGGGTTTGTTGTGAAATAGTGTTATTGAAACACCAAAGAAACACTGTTTCCATATCCTTTTTGAAAAGCTTCTAAGCAAAGCAATTTATGTCCTACAGCATGGTAAAATATAACTGTCTTTAAAGCGACAAAACTTAATAATGTGGCAGTTTCCAGAGAATTTCAAATTTTACTGCAATGGCTTCAATAATGTCTCTAGTTCTCTGCCTGATACTCCCAGAGCCACCTCTGTTCTCCATTTAGTGACAGTGGTGAGAAAGGCAGCCATGCTTGCTCAGTCAACTAACAGGGACTATGGTTTAAATTTTAAGGTTTTAATCAGTTTCTGAAGGCTGTCTTCTGATAACATGAATTTAAAGTGTATCCTGAAAACCCTTACAGTCACAGGACTCCTGAGCCTCTATTAATGATCATATATTTCTTAACCTATGTTATGAGCACCACCCCTGTAAACTTACACAAATTCAAGTGACAAAACAGTACTTTCTTACATCATCTAAACCAATCTCTTTGTCTAATTTCTTTCCATACGCTGCTTACAACATGCAAGCTTTTTCAATTAAGTTTTTATTTCCAAGCATTCCCTAGGGAATGCTGTTCAGTTATTTCTATAACTCTATTGCCTATGGCACGGTTAACAGTGAGTTACAATTCCCCCAGAACAGCCCCTAAGCCCAGTCCCATGCTGCAAACACACCAGCACAGGTGCTGCCTCAGTGCTTTATGGTTGCTTGGCCCATGTTGTGTCTCCTAGAGAGACACTCCCAGATCACTGTGGAGACAAAAAGCTCTCTGCTAAGATAATCCACCATCTCCAGGTTTTAGGAACTCCAGCCACCTTCCCCGGCATGTGCAATGGGGACGGAATATACACCTGCCATATGAAAACAGCCTGACTGACAAAGGGTAAGGCAGTCGCTTGCCGCCATCTGCTCACACGCACAGCTGAACACGTCCTGCTAGAAGCTACCCAAGCAATGTAGTTCCTCTTCAGCAACCAATTCACCAGGTGTCACAGAGCTCTGTCAGCAGACCTTGTGAGGGAAGGGTAAAATTGCCTCTTGCAACACATCCACATTAACAGCCAGTCCAGCCATACACAAGAAGCCTGAGTTCAGATTATATGGTGTATGCAACCTAAATATTCTTGTTCAAAATGATTTCCTCATTCTTCAGCAGTATTATGATTGAAACACATTCTTCCTCAATGTTGCTATCACAACTATACAACTGAAAATAAAGGCTAATAACTAGTAGCCACATCTACAGGAAATGCATAATCAAAAGTAAATTAATGTTCAAGTTCATCCTGTAATCATAGATTATATTGACTGTAACATAAGTAGCTCATACATGTTACTTTGGATAGCAGCAACCACTTTCACTGCACATGTGTTATAAATCAACCAGTAGGAAAGCTGGACGTGAGAAAGAGTGCTTTGCTTCGTGTTAAGGACTGATACCTTCCCAGAAAATAGCAAAACTTCAGATTTAAAACAACCAGAGTTTGGTACAATTATAACCCAAGCTCTAGTACCACCACTAACTTTTCCATCACAGTGCTTGCAGTCCCACTGGGGTCCCCTCCAGCACAGGCAGTCCTGGAGCCCAGCCCAGAAAGTGCCTGGGCACAGGCTCACCTCTGGGCGCGTGAGCAGCCACACCAAGCACTCAACCAGGCTTAGTCCCTGACTACAAATTAGTAACGAAAGGTCTCCTAATTAGAAGCTTGTTTAAACCCACCACAACCCTCAAATAGAGACAGACGCGCTGCCAGCCCCAGGAGTTCAAGAAATTACAAGACACACACAGACAGCAGAGAGGTTGAGTCAAAGCAAAGCAGAGGTGAATCTTGATGAGCCTCCCAATTATAGTTTCCCCTTGCTCTCACAGGTTTACACTAACATATGGCAGCTAGCAAAGATCACTACAGAAGGCACAAAGTTTTGGCCCTTCGAAGAAATTCAACTTCCATGTTATTCTTCTGATCAATGAATTTTGCACTTTCCCAACTACTTTTGTCTGCTGCTGTGCTCTCTTCCCAGCCTCCTCATCTCTAGCAGTGCTAAAACCTTTCACATCCTCCAAAATACGGTAGGAACTTGTATAGCCCTAAATTGTAGCACACGAATGCAGTTCCAGAATGCAGTTTCCCAGGGAGTGACGGACACGAGGAGGGGAGATACTGGGACAATCCTGCCATTCCCGTCTTCATTCCCTCCATGGCGGCTGTAACGAAGACCCTCTGGCACCTGTGTGCCTGCAGAGGTTTGCCGTGACCCCTCTGCCTCCAGTGGCGGCTCTGTGCAACCTCCCCCCTGAAAGTGAATAAGCAGCGCATTAAAGGTTTTTCCCCTTTAATGCCTGAAAACTGCAACAACGCTGCAGCTTTCTGGGTTGCATAGCAAATGCTACCGCCCAGCTTTCTGTATAATCCCTGTTTTTACCTTGGTAAGCTGTGGCATTAAGCATGTTTTTTAGTCCTGCATCATTAAAAGAAGACAGACAGCTGATGCCAACGTTCCAGCTTCCCTAAATATACCATCCTGTAACTTGGAGACAACAGTGACAAGGAAGAAACTGTGAAGACCAAAGCCACCCGCAGTTTAGCCTTGCATCTGTTTTGGCCGAACAAGTCAGCTACATACTCTCAACTTTCATGAGCTTTGAGAAAGCTAAACTCCCCCATCTCAAAATTAGTTTTGCACTACATTTCCAGGCATGCTGCCTTCTGCAAAACAAGTGATCATTTTCAAACTGTACAACTTCAGGAAGATGAGAGAACACAAGAAAAACAAAATTCAGAGCTCAAGAAGTGCTAGTATCATTTGGGTTTGACTGTAATTTTTGGTTTTTTTTTTTATTTTTAAGCACATTATTTACAACAAATGGCTTATAGTAAAGCACAGACCAGAGTCCCAAGCAGCCAGCCACTGGCATAGCAAGAGGATAAAGATTAGTGCTGAAATACAAGCAGTGATTAACGCACCAGGAATTGATATAGATATGATTCATCTTGCTGTCAATTAAATGTGAGAGCAAAGAAAAGCTGCATACAGGGATTCCATCTGCAATAACGTGATTAGTTTGGCAGTGAACAAGCATGTTTACTGAAATAAGCAATTGCTGTTTATATCTACAATTTCTCAGGCAAGAGTTCCTTGAATGGTTTTGATTACACTCTTAGCAAGACGAAATTTGGTTTGGCAGTTCGAATTTAATCATAAAGTTATAAAGTGATCTAGTAATCCATAAGCCAGCATTCTTGTTAATTGGCTAATGTAAATCTCCAGGTAGGTTTGCAGAGTCAAATTCATCATCCTTATTCATAAAAAAATGTAATTAAACCTCCCCAAAGCAGGCCTCGATGCATTATCATATTATCACACTTGATTGGATTCACCTTGATGAGCAATTTGTACTGACCACCAATGCACTTACATGCCAGAAAGAGAGCACAACTGGCTGGTGGGCCTTGTTAGGAAGAGAGAGGGGTCTCTTATACCCCGAAACAAAGCACTGCTTTTCTCTTAATGATTACAAGGGTGTGGGAGTGGGAAAAGAAAATAAAATTAAAAATCCCTCGTCTCCAGTTCGGACTTGGCACATCAAGGAATACCTGTGTCACATCAAGTAGTAGCTCGCTCGGCTCGATGCATTAAAATAAAGGCATAGAAAGCAAGAATATAGCAATGCAGTCAGCACTTCCAAGAAACAAGAGAAACTGGTCTTTCCATTTCTCCATCACCTTTAGCATTAGAAGCCCTGGTGAAACAGCCAGCAAAGGCTGTCTGTGTCACACTTGCCATACAGGTATCTGAATATTTGAGGCCAAATTAATCAATTATGTATACAGCCGGTGATCTCAGAGGGGTCCAACTCCATCTGAGAAGCAGTTCCCCGCAGGAGCTCATGACTAGGTGTTAATGTAGCATACATGGATTTCAACAGTTCCTGTATGGTCTAAAATTAAACCCATTTACAGTGGGAACACTGAAAAAGATGTAAGAGTCTAACTTGTGCTTCACCCAAAAACAGTTTAGGAAGGACTAGTTTTCTCAGACCTCTGCACTACCTGCCATGAAGAGTTCTCCAACTGCCTCCTTTTCTCTGGAAAAGGGTTTTTCTTTTCAATCTAACCAAAAGCCTCCTTGTCAATTACGCATGTGTCCTCCACAGCCTAGGTCAACAAGGCTGCACAGAAAGCTTGACCAGCTTCCTTAAGGGAAATGGTTATTCCATATGAAAGAACCACTCCTGTGTGTTGCCTGAAAGAGGTTTTGCTTCAATTAAGTGTTGCTCCTACTTATTCCCTTACACATAGCATTATTAATTCAGTAAACATCCCAGTGAGAAGGTTACTATAAAAGACACTGAAGTGCAATATTAATCTATCAGCTTACGTGTTAAATTCACTAACAGCTCTGTAATGTCACAACATGTTCCCATCCTCCCTTGCTCAGCAGGAACTCAAAAAACCCAGCACAAGGTAAGGACAATTTACTAAACCCCTTGTATGCCCACATATTGCATACATAGATACGTATTCTCCCGTTATATCACCTCGACTGCTGTTGCAGAAGCATGCTCCAAAATGTCAGCATACATGCATGTGAGCAGAAAAATAAGCTGGGGTAAAAATCTTGAAAACCAGAATAGATGCTAATCTATGGAGTGTTTTATTTCCAAGGTGTAAATACTTTACAGCTGTTTACACAGAGACAAGGCTAACTATGCCATTCTCCTCACAGGCAGGTTCTGACTCTCAAATCTAGCTAGGGCAATTTAAATTTCAGCATCTCAAATTACCAGTCCTCATCCCTTTTAGTAGGCAAACCACTCACTAGTATGCTCGACTAACAAGTCCAAATGACCTTTTACCCTTTCTCAAGAGCCAGAACTTTACTATCCTTCAGCTTCTTCCTTGGAGTTACCTGGGACAGCCAAATTTCACAGAAACATTAACCACCAGCTGGATGAACATGGAAAACAAAGACAGACATATCAACTAGCCTGTGTGTTCAGGATTATTAGCCTGACAAGGTCATTATTCCATAACTGGGTGCCCCTAATTCCAAGACTCTAGCCACAGCACAGACATCCAGTCACTGAGTAAAGCAATATGAATGTGGGTAAGAAAACAGAGCATTTTATTTCTGTCTTACTATGTGATGGATTCTGTTCTTGAAATAACAACAGCTTTTCTACAATGTGTAGCCAATTAGTGCACATCTTGGGGCAATATCCTCTTCTGGCAAAGGAAGACAAGATCTTTGCCCTAGCATACCTTTGATTGGCAGGCATTATTAAAAATAGGACACTTGGGCTAGAGGACATGTCCACAGCTTAGATATGTCAACACAACAAATGGACTGTCCTCCTTTGTGTCAATCCCTCCAGTTATGTTCCACCTGCTGCCCTATATTAGGTGTTTAATGCAGCGGCTTTAAGGGATATCACGTGGGAAATGTGCAAGTTAGTACAACATGAAAACAACATGCTGTTCACTTGACAGATCCATTTGCTTACACATATGCTGGAAATTTTCAGATCCTTTGTAGGCTGATCTGACGCAATAGGTTTAGAAACTGGGGGACAAGCAGTCATTTCATTTTGAGAATAAGTCCCTTCTGTAAAACTTTGGGGTTTAATCCACCTCTGGAAATTTACAATGGCCATCCAATCCCTAGAAAAATGGGAATGTCCTGAATTCTGGAGTATTGCATATACAACGAGTGAGCTATCCAGATCAGTTTTCCCTTCCAACTCCCTTTATTAAGCAGTCCTAAAATATGAAGCTGCCATTTCTGATAATAATGAAGCCAGACTGTAAAATCCTGTGCTAAACACTCAAGAGAGTTAGAAGCAGTATTATCATCTAGGTGCAAGACAGGCAGCCCAACAAGAAGCTCACTTTAAATGTGAAGTTTTATTTTCTGCAACACTATCTAAAGCCATACGGATCCTGTCTTATCCGCTTTCCAGCCAGGTTCCTCAGACATGACTCATCTCATTTGCTTTACTAATACCTCAGCTGCTGTTACTCCTCCCCACAGAAACAGTCAGAAGCTTTGAGGTATCGTTTATTCAGACGTCATACACACCTTCATGGAGCTCAATGAAGATTCCCTTTCATTACCCACTGTTTTACCTTCAACTAGACCATTAAGATCCACTTCTGTTCCCTATCTTCACCCTATCTTCAGCTTGCCCAATTTGAATGGCAGCTTACAGTAAATGTGTGGTAACTAAAGCAATTCACAGAGTAACAACTTGTCTAGATGAAGAGCTTACTGATTGTATTTCTAAGGTGAGAAACAGAAAGCATCACATGAAACAAGCACCTGCTCACCTAGCTGCTCACACTGATACCATCTCAAAGGAAGAAAGAGGTATTTCTTGGTCTTAGGCTTTTTCCAAACCTAGATTGAAGCAAATCAGGCCACAGCTCTGACTACACCTACTTCAATCATTTTACAGAACATTGACTGCAAATACTTCCAGCCAACTGCAGGATGTGAGCCTCAAAGCCCACATTTAATGCAAGAGAAGAAGACACGTTCCTTTATACTCATCTACTAAGTATAGATGTGGTTATTTTACAAAACTCTAAATCACAGCACAACCGTGTTTAAAAGAAGGAGGATTTATTTAAGACAAAGAATAGCTGTCGATTCACACCAGCTCTGCCTAAAACCAGTTCACAACTCATGTTCCTTTTACTGATTTCTCCTTGGCTTCTGCATTGAGAAGCAAGCTAAAAGAGAGTGGTGACTCTGAAGTCTACTGTGAAAAGAAGATATGCCAATGAAGTCTGTTTTCTACGACAGCAAGAATCAATAGAGTAGATATCTACTGCACCTCTTCCTGCTATCACTACCTTAACAGCAAGTCTCCAACATCACCCTTCACTACGTGGGGAATTTATTCTGCCTGTGCCTTAGCTACCTGGAAGAGAGCACTGAACAGTGCTTTGAGCTTACCAGTGTCTGATTGTGCCCACCTAGACAGAAGCTGTCGCCCACCAAAGCAACAGGAGCCTCACCACTGACTTCTGTGGCACAGATCCTACCCTCAAACAGCCTTCACCTTTCTGAACTGAATAAGAGCTGGCACCATGACTGGTTTAAAGCTGAGATTTATAGAGGTAGTGCTATTGGTTTCACTTCAAGCTTGCAAGTTTGAAAATACTAACCAAACTCTACTTAGCGCTTACACTTCAGCAGAGGTTTCCGCTCCTCCTGAACCTAAGTAAAATCCTGAGTAGTACACAAAGGTGATTGTTTAAACAAGAAAAACAATTTACAACAATCACGCTTCACCACTGGTTAAAGACCTACAACAGTGAACTATTGTTAATGCCATCCTCCAGATTAGCACCCACCAAAGCAACCTGAGAGCCTCTTGGCACTCCTTTCCAAACAAAACTATCTGTATAAGCCTAACATATGCTCAAACAGATTTTAAGTTTCATATTTTATCAGAAATCATAATTAATACTTACGTGTTTGTTTCTATACTGAGAAAATTGAGAGAGGCCAAAAACTGTTGCTATGGCACCTCCTCCAATGAGAGCAGTTCCTTTCACTGCCTTCTGAAATGCCATCTTTTACTGTAAGAGAAAAAGATAAAAATTAATAGGCAGTTCTACCATGTTAGAATCTAAGCTACACAGAATAGATCATTTGTAGAAACTAATGTCAATGTCATGACAAGTTGAAATTTAGGGTAGCAGTATATTAATTAGTGATTTTCATTGCAATACTAATAATTTCTAAACAAAGTCTAGACAGAGGCAAACCAGAGAACTCCAGTATTTGCTGTGAAAGCTGAACGACAAAAGCGTATTTAGATGCACAAGTAGATACGAGTATAAACACACGATGTAAACTCTAAATACTCATATATGTGACAAGTGCTTACAATCCCATGATAACAGCAGAACAACATCTCATCATCAGCCAGATGGCTGCCAAATCCTTACCACAACAGAACAGACAATCTACTTGACAAGACCACCTTTAAGTACCCTCCCATCTCACCAAGCTATTCCTACAATCATATTTGCCTCATAGCACTCCATCTTGCTTTCCAGCCAGGAATTACCATCCCTGTATTCGCTGTATATCAGAAAAGCTTGTCCTACACAGGAATAGCAGAGAAGCAATGTGCTGCTAGTCAGGAAGTTGGTCCTTCAGTGAGAAGCAGCAGCAGCAGAGACAGCAGACAAGATTAAGTGGCTTGAAATAAGCACAGAACTTTATCATCTGGCTAGAGAGGGTTTAAAACCAGCCCTATGTGGGTCAGGCAAATTCTTAAAAGACCCACTGTTCAGATACTGAATGAAAAATTTGCATGGCACTGACCTGAATCTTAAGCAGGCACAACCTAATCCATCTTCCCAGGACGGTGGCAGCTCGCCTCACATTAGAAACAACATATATCAAGTTTGAAAGATTCCTGTCAGCACTTCAAGCCCTCCAGTTATGCAGACATCTCTGCTCAAGCCCCACATTCACCCAGCAGTCTACGTACAAGAGATTTATCACCATTAAGGCTCAAAGCAGAAGGCGGCAAGTGTACAGCCCCATGCCAACACCAGCGGACTTACAACACAACAGGACCAGCCGGGGCCAGGAGCAGGGAGCAGCAGGGGCTCCCATCCCAAGCCAGGCAAGGGGTAGGTGCCAGCAGCCTCACCTGCAGCCTGGCTGGGGTCTCATCCCTCTCTTGGGTCCCCTAGGCTGGCCTGCTGCCTTGCTCCAGCACAGCTCCGGCACAGTACAGTGCCTCACTGGACACCTCCTGATTCAAACATTTCACAGCCTTCTCTCCACAGCTGCTGTCTGTCCTATCCCATACACACACCAGAACACATTGTAAACCATCACTTTCAGCAGTGTACAGCCTTATTGTCAAGATTTGCAGAACACTATTTACAATTCCAGAGTTATTTCTTTGGCCTCGTAAGTACAAGTAAACATGAAATACTGTATGTTACTATGCATCTGTACACATTTCATCTTTTTTCTCCCATTAGCTCTTCCAGCTACCATAACTGTTCTTTTTTCTTAAGAAATACCCCAAACATGTTTAAGATGCAAGTCAAACAAGAAAGCTTCATTTAGAAGATGGTAAAGATCTTAACTTCATTCCCTGTGAAACACATTCAGCATATAGGGAAATTCCATATGTTATTATTACACATAAACATTTGATGTACAGATGTTGTATGCAAGGGATTATTGTACAGAAGGCCAAGACTTTGAGCTTCCCAGTTTTTCTGAAGAGCAGCACATGTGCCTTTGAAGGTTCCCACCATAACATTTGTGTGTAGATAATCACATTCTCCATTATCTTCATACTTCACCCTCAAGAAAAGGCCAACTTCCTCTTTCCTTTACATGACAGTGAGGAGTAAAAGTGAAAAGCAACAGACAAAAACCCCCATAACAAGGGAGGTTTCTGAAAGGGGAGTTACTGTGGAGGCCTGGCCTCACAAGCTGTGACACCTCCACAGAAACAGGGAGGTAAGTGCAAGTCTGAGATCCAGGACCTCATTGCCAGCAAGGCAAGCAGCCGCACTGACACCAAGACACAGCCCTGTCAGAAGCACACAGTGCCAGAGTGGTTGTCAGAGAAGAGGTGTCGATACTACCCTGCCCTTCCCTCCCTGCAGGATGGAGCCCTGCACCATGGCATGGCTGCCTCTCCCTAAGGGAGCAGGGCTCCAACCAGCTGCCTCTGCAAGAGGGAAGGGAGCACCCAGCAAGAAAGGCTCCCCACAGGGGTACCCACCAGCAACCCAGCACAGTCAGCTCATGGGAAAGCCACGTACACTGGTATGTAGGCTTGTCCCTCCCAGGAGTCCCTCTCTTGACAGTCTGGCATAAGTCCTGTACAACAGCATCTGAGCAGTCAGAGACATGTCTTATCCCAGGAGCAGGATGTCTCAGAATCAGACCATGTCCTGTAGGCTTATCCTCACCCAAAAAAACTAAAGAGTAAAACCTAACCATCAGCCTACCCTAGATCCGTTAAGACAACCTTTTGTACTATCACTTCCACGTACCTGAGAACACCTGCAGATACTCATGAAGTCGTAACACAATATGAAATTCAATATTGCACAAGAATTAAAACAGCTGGAAAACTTGCACTGCCATCACCAAACTCATCATCTCCTGCAAAAGAACTAAAACAATCAACATCAGCTCACATACTGTCTATAGCCACAGAAGCATATGGTCATGGTGAATACATACACGTCATCCAAGCACACTGTGTACTACACACACTTCTACCATAAGGTTTCTTCAAGTCGCTAGAATAATAACTCATCTTGCAGGCTGCAAACTGGTGGCAGTCTTGAAGTAGTTTCACACACCTTACGCATCAGCAAAGGAGTCACTTCAAGCAAGAGTATGAAAGCGTTACAAGTGCCTGTTCTGGGAATACAATATGCTCTAGAATCCACAGGATTTTAAAAAGAACAAATTAGCATCTTCCAACAAGCTGGCTCACATGTCTGCAGAGATATTGGCTTTCAACAAAACAAATGGAAGTGGATCCTTTCAGCCAAGATCAGTAAGAAAAGGTGATGGCCGACGCATAAATCCGTACTTATCCCTGTTCAACTGAACTCTGAAGGCTCATTAGTCATGAACAGAGTGCCACAGTTCAGCAGCTTGTGTGGGATGGCAAGCACAGTCCAAGGGCTCCTGGTCAAGTGATGAGCACTCTCAACCCCAGGGGAATCAGAGGTAACTGAAAGCCTAGCCAATGCTAATAGTTTTTTCTGGCCACTTGCCTCCTCACACCTTTTCTGAGACCTCATGTTGAAGACCAGATATATACCTACCTAAGTTAACCCATTACATTTTTATTGAGTGGGACTGAATTAGAGCAGCACAAGGTATGCAAACCACTGACTAAATGTCTCCGTGATCACTGCCCACACCAGTTTACTTTAAAATACAGTTTCCCAGGCAGCTTTGGAAGTTACTTATTTTTAAAAACAAAGAAATCATGATTTCAGGACTTCATGTTCTACCAGGCCTTTTTAGCACACATTTTATCAATACTTCTAGGAAAAAAAAAAGGGGGGAAACCCAAACAAAAAACACGCAAGTTTTTAAAACTGAAGAAATAATGTAGCTATTTTACCATTATGTCTTTAATTATGGGTCAAAAAAACCTTATTGCATCAACCTAAATCTGAAGTTGTGAATTACACTAGAAATACCATTGTACAGATGAAGAAAAAAAGCACAAATGCCCCCAAAATTGCACAGCAGATTTCAAGTTGTTTGTACAGCAATGCAGCACAAACTTGTGGAAGTAATCGGCAAAATTAATTCAGCACTCACCGCAATTGAGTTACATATATAGTCTTGTGCTATTTTTCAGTAATTTGAAATATCTATTCTTCTGATAGCTTTTTTGTTAAAATAAATAAATAAATAAATAAAACACAACAAAAATACCAACCCAACCCTCAAACAGAATATGCTCACATACTGAATAAAAGCCGCACTTGGCGAGTGCTAGGAAATAAGGTAATGACAAATACTATGCCTGCTTTTCATATTCAGAGAGCTCCATCTCCTCAGTTTCCATCTCCCAACAGGCCTCTGCAAATCCCTGGTGCAGTCCCAAGTTCTGTTTTCAGCTGCCTCAGTTCAAGCTGTTCCCTGTGCCATCTTTTCCATGACTGTCATTAGTATCAGCACCCTGCCACGCTAACATACCTTCCACAACCCCCAGCCTACTGATGTACTCATAGGTGCCAACAGTTTAGTTATGGATGCTATAGGTTCTCATTCATTAGCTAGGATAAACACTAGTTCTTCTAGATAAGACAATTCATTTAAACAGCAAAAGCAACAAAAGCCCCTGTGACTCCACAATGTTTGCTTCGATCCAGGAGGCTTTGAGGCATCTGTCACCAGCTAAACACAATACTACAGGGGCAAATAGCTTTAATTTAACAGTTTCCTAAGTAAAACCTCTATTAAGAGCCCAAATGCCAGTGCCAACTGCATGCAATAAATATTCCTTCCTATGTATAAATAAAGGACAGCAAGTCTTCAGAAGTTAAATGATTATCAAAATCAAATGAAAGTTTGACTCCAAATCGGTTTCTGAAAAATTTTGGATTAAATACAAAAATCTTTAGAGTGGTGCCTATTATAGCACAGTCTTCTGGCATACTTACCTTTTCCCCTTTTGAATGTCTACAAGTGACTCTTTACCCTACAGAGCCCAGCAGAAGCAACACAACACAACAGAACACACACAGAAGGCTGCACAGTTCCACCAGCACCTGGAAGTGCAGGCACTCAGCCATGAGCAACCAGGTCTGGGGAACTGCAGCAGCATTGCCTGCATTCGCTTCCACTGCCTCCCACAGCTGGCTTCCTCACATGATGCAGGATGCAAATGTGCACTGATTAACGAAGGGAGAACACAAGAAAGACCTGAGTGTTCCTAAATGTCAGACTGGAAACCACAGCAGGACAACAAATGCTTCAAGAGTAGTTTCAGTATGCAGTATGGAGGGTGGCTCCAAGGAAAACAGAGATTCCCTGTTCACAAGGAGTCACATGGAGA